CTCCTTCTCCTTCTCCTTCTCCTTCTCCTCCTCCTCCTCCTCCTCCTCCTCCTCCTCCTTCTCCTTCTCCTTCTTCTCTTCTTTCTTTCTCTAAAATCAATAAGCATTCCGCAGCTGAGGATTTATAAATATATATATACCAAGGTCTGTCCAGAAGGTATCCAGCCATGTAACATGAAAAATAGAGACATTTATTGAAGAAGATACAGGAAATAGTGTACATAGGACAATGATGCCTCAGTCCCCTTCAAAGTAGACACCTTGGGACCTCACACAGTTCTCCCAGTCACCATCAGCTGCCCCGTCATATTTTCCTGAATCTCTTTGACAGTCTGATATCTCTCCCCTTTCAAATGTGATTTTAGTTTTGGGAAAAGCCATAAGTCACAGGCCACCAAACCTGAGCTATAGGAGGGTCGAGTCACCTGGGTGATTTGATGTTTCACAAAAAACACTCTGCAGGAGATATGGTGCATGAGTGGGCACACTGTCGTGATGAAGCTGCCATTCACCAGTTGCGCATAGCTGTGGCCTTCTGAATCATCTGAAGAGTTTCATGGAGGAATGTTCAAGCTTATCGCAAAATTTGATCCAGATTCGTTGCCTTACTTGCTTAGTCATTTTGAATGCAACACCAACACAGTACACATACTCACTCAAGGACGTCTACGGCCCCCATTGTCTAGTTCAGTGAAGTCGTCATTATTCACACAGGTGCATTCCAGTCCACTTTCCTTGGCTGCCAGGTGACATCGATGTCACACAAAGTATTCTCATTATATTAATAATGGCTGGACTTTTTCTGTACAAACCTCATATATATATAAGAAAGTTTTATTGCTTAATTTATGTTTTGGTTATTTGTTGCCTATGAATATTTTGTATTCATGACCAGAAACATGAATAATAATTAGATACAATCATTCAATTTGGAAACAAGATTTTCTTTATTCCTCCTTCAAGCTTCTGGACTATTTTAATTGCAAAGATCTTAATATTGCAAAACCAAATAAGCTATTTTTAAAAAGTGTGCCATTTGTAATAGCTTTTCTAATAGTAAAAATTGTCTTAATATTATAATGCCAAAACAAAGTACAGAAATTAAGTTGATGATGATGATTAAAATTGCAGCGGTCGCCCATGTCCTTTGATTTCATACTTATTATTAGTCAATAGTTAATTAGTTTTGTTGATGGATATTTCTAAGCAGTATCATACTTTGGGCCTATAAAATGACTTACTACTAACAAACCTCTTGTTCTGTTGTATATAATGGAGGTTTCATTTAGAGTTTATTAAACAAAAGAGGGCTACCACCAAAATAATTTGAAAACCTCTGATCTAGTCTAATCCATTAATTTTACAAATTGAAAAGTTAAAGCTGAGTTTAAGTGTCTTGCTCAAAGTTATACAGCTAGAAAAATACAGTTGCCAAACTTCCAAATCCTTAGTTCACTGTTCTCTATACTATTTGTTATAGTATGTTTAGTTTATGCCATGCCATTTAGCATTTATTGACATAGTTTGTACACATCGCTTATTTATTTATTCAACAAGTAATTTTCTATGTGCCAGGCACTGTTTTAGGCACTGGATACATTCCCTGAATCTAGAAATTGTACTGAGAATAAAATAAGGAAAGTGATTCTATTCAGCCTCCTGCAATTAGCTTAATGTATCATTAGGTGGACTTGCTGTATTATTTAACAAGAACCTTGTATTTATGATTATATTTTAGAGAAGTAAAAAGGGTTCTTTAATATTTTTGAAAGGTGAGAAAAACAAGTAATTTAACTCAAAGCAGTCTGTTTGCATACCATGAACCTGGTAATGTGTTTGGCAACCATAAACTCAAAGATATACAAAACAGCAATGTGTGCGATAGGTGCTATTATCTTTATATAAACAACATCGTAGAATGGGAGAGGAATGAAAAAGTAGCTCTAAGCAGGAGGCTGGAGGGGGCTTCATGGAATAGCTGGCCCTGGAGTTTAGTTAAAGAATGGAAGGTTGCCTTAAGCAAATGGGAGGAATTCTTTCTAAGCCTAGGGAACCCCATGCATAGGTACAGAGTTGTGCGAGGTTTTTGCGTTTCCAAGAAAGTTTAGTGCAGCAAGAACCTAGGGTATCTTAGGAGGAGGAGTGAATAAACATTTTTACCCATGATTAGATGACTGAAGAATGGAAGTAATGAAATGTGCGAATTTCTGATTTCGTACTGTAGGTATTCCTAATGCTTCTACATATTTTTATTCCTAAATGCTAAGTTCTTTGAGAACCCTTGGGGTATTTTGCACTTCCCAGCCTTACGGTGATGTGTTCAGTGCTGAGCATGGCAAGAGCTCAGCATATGCTTACTTACTAACTGTGCCCATCATTCGCTCAACAAATATTTTTGGCTGCAGCATGTGTAAGGTTCTGTACTTTGTGTTACTAGAAATAAAAAACTTGTGATACAAAGCCAGTCTTCAAGGAGCAATTGAACCCAAAGCAAAAAAAAAAAGTAGTTTTTTGTCTGTTATGATGACTAATAAATCCATGTATTCACAGAGCTTACATTTTTGTCAAGAGGAGACAATAATAAGATAAACAGTAAAATATGTATTATGTTAGTAATAAATACTAAGGAGAAAAAAATAAAGGAGGATATAAATTATCAGTAGAGGAAAAGAAGAGGTAAAGCTACTTAATTTCTCTTGCCTCAGTTTCCTCAACTCTAGAAAAGAAAAAAATAGTTTTTATACAATTGTGACAAGAATTAAATGAGTTAATGCATGTATAAAGTGCTCAACACAGTTTCCAGAAGATGGTAAGATAAATGTCAGCTAATATTACTATATATTTGGCTAAAACAACTTTAGCACAGTAGTCATCTTATTTTCATCACTTAATGGACTTTTTTAAATTATATTTTATTGATTATGCTATTGGTTGTCCCAATTTTTCCTCCTTTATCCCCCTCCACCCAGCACCCCCCACTCCCGCAGGTGGTCCCCACACCATTGTTCACATCCATGGGTCATGCATATAAGTTCTTGGCTATTCCATTTCCTATACTGTACTTACATCCCCATAGCTATTCTGTAACAAAAGATATACTTAAAGTTTGGAACTACTCTACAGACTAAGACTCCCTCATCCATATCTTGTTCTTTTTAGTCTCTGCTTCCAATGTACTCACTGATAATATTACTTACTGAAGTAAATCATTGTTTTTTGATAATATTTCTTCTAGAAAACAATAGTCATTTATCTAAATGTCAGGTCATGTTTCTACTTCAGGCTTTAGGCAGGCATCCAGATCTTTCTGTGGAAAATATTCATTAATGCTTCATGACATCACACCTCAAGGTTAAAAGTTCTGACAAAATGAAACCTTTATGCTTGCTTACTATCTAAAAATGAGTACAATACTGAAATTGTCATTACTGGACAGAAGTGTAATATCTTCAATATTAATCTTTTGCAGTTAAGATTATATGCATGGGTTAGGTGAACTTTCAAGTCCCTTTCCTTTCTTTGCCTTTCTAAACTCTGTGCATCTTTAGATATAGCCTGACCTCCTAAACTGCCCCCCTTTCTCTGATCCTTGAAGTCTAAACTAGCTCTTTCTTTGTGTTCATTTAGCAATCCATACTTAGTCCCTATCAAAGCCAGTATCATTACTTACTAACTGTGCCCATCATTCGCTCAACAAATATTTTTGGCTGCAACATGTGTAAGGTTCACATGACTGCCCGACTTCCCACCCCTCACCTCCCAGGCAGTAAGCTCCTTGAGATGGGACTGTGTTTGTATGTTTGGGTCCCTACCATCCATTCAGTGCCTCAAATGCAGTTGCCCAATAAGTACTTCAAATAACTATAATGTCTGCAGTGCCTTTAGTATTTCATGACTATAGAAACATAGTTGCTTAACCTGGCTCCACATCCTTCAGTTGCCCCTTTGTCTCTGCTGGACGCTCTCTGAGGAGTAGCAATGCTCAAGCATGCTGCTACACCACATACTACACATTTCCCTATCCTCCTTTGGCCTAAAATCAAAAAGAGAAAGAAAAAGTAGGCTGGCTATCAGGAAAGACCTCAAAGGTGGAGCAACCTATGGAGTATAACTATGGCCCAGGATGTGTTCCTTACTCTTCCATTTAAAAAATTGATTTTGCCATTGCTCTTGAGGGTGATGGGCTTGTAGGACCTAACACAAACCAGCTACACAATCTATATTTACAAGAAATTAATTTATAAGCCAGGTGACCTGTTTGTTTGTTTGTTGTCTTTGAGTGAAATACATATACCTGGTATTCAAGTCACTAACTTAATGATATCAAAGCACCTATGAAATCCACCAAATGATCAAACAGTTGTTCAATGCCCTTGGAAACAGAACTAAATGAGTCAGACGGTGGAAAGGATTATTTTACCCAGAAAGAGGGAGAACCTTGTCAATGTCTCCCTGGTTGTTAGGAGAAAATAGAGTAGGGGGTGACAAAGTATCAAGTACACTTCTGAAAGCCCTTATAAAAAATGTTTCTTATTTGTTAAAAGAAAAGAATTTTAAAAGTCAGAAAATAAAACAATGGCATATTCTAATAATTACCATTAATTAATAATCTTAATAATGGTAATGTACAGTTTGGTTTCATAATTCTTTGATCCCAAGATGAGTTTGTAAGTTAAGATAATGTGGTACTGCTGATGATGGTGCTAAGAAAGAAGCAAAGAAAAAGGACTGAAGTTAGACCTCAATCTCCTCTAACTCAAGAACCATCACAGTCTCAGGGGCAGCTCAGTTTCATTAAACTGTGTGCTTTTGGTTTTAGCTGGCTTGCTGGTGCTCATCCATATACTAATAATGCATGATGATCCGCTAGTTCACCCTTTACCCTTGTGAAGAAATTATGAAGTGCAGCTTAAGTGGAAGACAAAAAATATAAGTTGTACCTCTTCTCAAGGGCTGAAGCGAGTCTCTCAAGCCTTATCTCAAGGTCCTTTCTATTCCAGAGATTGGAAACCCAAGTGCCTACAGAGGCCAGTCTGGTGGGAATGAAGCAGGAAGCCACTGCAGTGAACTGGAGAACCAAGTTCTTTCTGAAGGAGCAGCCACTGCTCTGGTCCAGATAGTGGTTGCAAGGCAGGAATGTTGACCTAGTGATACCACATTGTCCAGTTTATCAGGTAAAGCAGGAAATGCACATTTTCATGTGAAACTTTTAATTTAAATATTGTCAAATAATTTGCTATTACTAATTATTATTCACAAACTGTATACAAGCCAAACAATTTTGCAGATGGGATTTGGCCCAGAGCTCTCCTGTTTATAACTTGGTCCTATATTTGGCTTACCTTTTTGTTAAATTGAAGACTTTATTTTCTACAGGTTTTGCTTTTCTTCAGCATGTGCTCTAAAATATACTATGCCTGGTTTTGTGATACTGAAACTCCTTTCCTCTCCAACCTGAGTACTTTGTGCATACATTTTCTTTGGCTGCTACGTTTTCTCTGCCACTCTCAGCATTCCAGTGAGCAGTTAATACTAAATGGAGTCTCCCTGAGACACTTTTGATGTGACACCACTAAACATCTACAGGTATACTGCTTACTCATTTTGTTACTGATGGGTAAGCTGCATAAACACAGTAAAAGATCATTTATTTCATGGGGCTTAGAGATTGTATGCTTTGCCCCCTCTCCCCCCGCTTTCTAGAATCCACACAGAAATTATTTTCTCCTCTTATTTCTTGAGAAACCTTATCAGATGATTTATTAGACTTTAGTTATCTTTTACATTTAATTATGTTTGCTGGAGACATCGATAGGACTTACGTGTTTCTAGGTAGTTACACACATTTAGAGACAGTGTCTTTGGGTAGGTTTCTTCAATGGCTAAGGAGTCTTCCTATTTCCACTTCAGGAGTAACCTGATTTTCAAGGTTATGAGTGGTTGTTGGGACTTGGATATTGTTACCTCTATGCAGAAGTGATTATGCAAAGAAGGAACTTGACATCCACTGTCAGGTGAATTAAACACTTTTACAGTAAGAGTGTATAAATATTAGTTGTTTCATAATATTGCACAGCCTCAAGTGGGCATAATTCATAATTGTTTCATTCTTAGTACAGTTTTGAAAAAAAGCAATATTGATGTACGTCATTTTTCAACAATGATTTAACCTATATATTGGGCTGTACCTTGAGTAACCAAAATACCAATAGGGCATGAATAAGATGTAAAAATTACCTGCTTAAAATTGCTTAGTATACTCTTAAATAGATTATGTAAATACAGACAACTATTTCTTCTAAATATTCCCTATGAGAAATTTCATCGTACTGTAGAAAAGCAAAAATAACAAACTGCTGGTGACTAAAATACAGAAATAAATTATAAACTACTTTCCCTCAGAATTCTACTGAGTTTATCAATTAATATATAGCTGTTCTGTTGTACTACTTTATTTTAAAAGTTTTCTAAATGATTTTTAAGGATATGTATGTGGGAGCTGGTGATTGCTCACTTTAGCTTTTAAGAAGGCAAAATGAATAGTAAGCATTTTCTATATATGCATACAGACCGTCACTTTTCACTTCCTTATTTTTTTATAGTTTTAATATATTGTAATAGCAAACTTACAGGAACAGCACACAAGACAGACAACATTAAAAAACATGTACTTGCATGTAGGACAACTCAGTTAGAAAAGTATACTGAATGGATGGAATCTACTGTATGATTAAAATGCTGCAAATACCATTTAGTTGCCATCAATAAGAAATTCACTCGGTACAAACTGACAGTAACCAGAGGGGAGCGGCAGGGAGGGTTATGAGGGAAAAAAGCGGAAGGGTCAAGTCAAGGAACATGTATAAAGGACCACGGGAGGGAGAATTGAATGTGGGAGAGGAGGTGGGTAGGGCAGGGGAAAGTCATGGGGACAATTGGGGACAACTGTAATTGAACAGCAATAAAAAATAATTAAGAAAAAAAAGAAAAGAAATTTACTTTGACTTGCAGACAAGATGGAGCCATAGGTAGATGCACTTTACCTCTGTCCACAACCATAAGAAGGATCATAACTAACCTCAAAACAAAAAACACCCAGAAATGCCAGAAAATCTATCTATATAGAAGTCTGACAACCAAGGACTTAAGAAGCCATATTCATCCAGACCAGCAGAAGGGGTGAAGACAGAGAGTCAGGGCAGAGAGGACGCAGTGGCGGTGAGGCAGCAGCAGCAAGGTGGCTGGCAGAACAAGCAGTCCCACATTCACGTGTGGTGGATAAAATCAGGAGGGATACCTTGGGAACGAGGGACCCCAGCCCCAGGCCCGACCTCACAGCCCAGGGTCCCTGAGCCAGGAAAATAAAACCTCATAACTTCTGCCTGTAAAAACCAGTGGGAGTTGGGACAGTGGGATAAACTGCTAGTCTCTTGGGAGAGGCAATTTATAGGGCCTGGATGGTCCTAGAATGAACACAAACCCACCCACTCTGGAAACCACCACCAGGGCAGCAGCTAGAGGGGCGCCAGTGGCATGTGGAAAGGGGATGAAGGGATTGGAAATGGGGTGAGTGATGAGCAAGCCTGAGTGCCATTGTCCCTGTCAGAACCCACTCCCAATATACAGAGCCACAAAGCACTGAAGCTGGTTGCCCACCCCCACCCAGTGAATACCTAAGGCTCCACCCAGTACAACTTAACAGGTGCACCAAGACAAGGAATTAAAGTAGCTCTACCTAATACAGAGAAACAAACACAGGGAGGCTGCCAAATTGAGGAGACAAATATGGCCCAAATGAAAGAACAGAACAAAACACCAGAAAAAGAACTAAGCAAAATGAAGATAACAAACCTATCAAATGCAGAGTTCAAAATACTGGTGATAAGAATGCTCATAGAACTCATTGAATATGGCAAAAACATAAGGGAAGAAATGATGTCTACACTAAGAGAAATATAGAAAAATCCAAGTGGAGCTAACAGTGAAGGAAAGGAAGCCAGGGCTCAAATCAACAACTTGGAACATAAGGAATAAATAAACAATCAACCACAACAGAATGAAAAAATAATTTTAAAAAATGAGGCAAGAATAAAAAGACTCTGGAACGTCTCCAAAACTACCAGCATCAAAGGGATGCCAGAAGAAGTGGAAGAGCAAGAAACTGAAAACCTTTCAGAAAAAAATAATGAAAGAAAACTTCCCTAATTTGGCAAGGGAAATAGACATACCAGTCCAGGAAACACAGGAGATCCCAAACAAGTTGGACCCAAAGAGGACCACACCAAGATACAGCATATTTAAAATGCCAAAGTTAAAGATAAACAGAGAATCTTAAAAGCAGCAAGAGAAAGGCAGAGGGTTACCTATAAAGGAGTTCCTATAAGGCTGTTGGCTGAATTCTCAAAAGAAACTTTGCAGGCTAGAAGGGAATGGCAACAAGTTTTCAAAGGGATGAAAAGCAAGAATGTACAACCAAGATTACTCTATCCAGCAAAGCTATCATTTAAAATGAAAGGGCAGATAAAGTGCCTCCCAGACCAGGCAAAGCTAAAGGAGTCCATCATCACCAAGCCATTATTATATGGAATGTTAAAGGGGCTTATTTAAGAAAAGGATCAAAACTATCAACATTAAAATTACAACAAACTCACAACTATCAACAGCTGAGTCTAAAAAACAAAATCAAACTAAGCAAACAGCTAAAACAGGAGCATAATCATAGATACAGAGATCACTTGGATGGCTATCAGCGGGGAAGGGGAAAGGAGAGAATGAGGGAAAAGAAGGGATTAAGAAGCATAATTGGTAGGTACAAAATAAACAGGAGATATTAAGAAAAGTATAGGAAATGGAGAAGCCAAAGAACTTATACGCATGACCCATGGGAGTTACTGGAGAGAAGGGGGATCCTGGGCAGGCGAGGGGAAAGTGGGAAAAACTTGGGACAACTATAATAGTATAATCAATAAAATATATTTTTAAAAAGAAATTTACTTGTTTTAAAAAAATCCAAATGTTGGCATTGTTCAGAAAAATTTAACAGGTTTATTTATATTATTATAAAGTAGAACTACTGAAACTTGTTCACTGACACATTTTTGACTTGCATTAATGCTTTATGTCCCCACATTTACATTTAAAAAATTCACACACAAATGAAAATGGAAAAACTGCCATTACCTGATTTCTGGTGATTTCTGTCCCTTATTTTCCATTTGCAGTCATATACTTAGGTACCTTTTGACCCCATGGGAAAAAAAATACCTAATGTTCAGAACTACCAATAACAGAAAGAAGAGTGTTTTGTCATTTTTTTTTTTAAAGAATGAAATGTTACCCATCATAGTGGATTCTTTAGCACGTTCTCCATGTATGCAGCGTGCTAGCTGGATGTCTTTTGGCATAATTGTTACACATTTGGCATGGACAGCACACAAGTTGGTGTCTTCAAAAAGATCAACCAGATAAGCCTCACTTGTGTCCTGCAAAGCACCAACAGCTGCACTCTGGAAGCGCAGCTCTCTTCTCAAGTCCTGAGCAATTTGTCCCACCAGACGCAAGAAGGGAAGTTTGGGAATCAGAAGTTCAGTGGACTTCTGATAACATCTGATTTCACAAAGTTCCATGGTACCAGGCTTGTAATGATGAGGTTTCTGCATCTCTCTGGTGGAGGGCACACTCTTGCGCGTGGCTTTGGGAGCCAGTTGCTTCTATTGTGCTTTACCACCCCGATTTGCTGCTTTGTAAGAGCCATGGCATGGAGACCTCTTTACTTACCCCCTTCTCCTTCGACTGGAGCTTGGCAAGCTAGCGAAGGCGCTGCTGTTAGAGAGCAACACTTCCTTATGTATTTTTAAAGACACAAATGGAAGCTTTAACTTGAAGTTAACTGTCTCAATCGTATTTTTTCTTTGCACTCATGTAGAATGACAAGAGCAAAGAGAAAGTTCAGTGGCAGAACAAGCAGTCCCACATTCATGTGTGGTGGATAAAATCAGGAGGGATACCTTAGGAACGAGGGATCCCAGCCCCAGGCCCGACCTCACAGCCCAGGGTCCCTGAGCCAGGAAAATAAAGCCTCATACCTCTGCCTGCGTGTAGTAATATATATGAATTACTGGATAATATACAGGGGAACCCAGTTTAGATCTGGAAGGCCAAATAATGATAAGGG